TCTCTCTCTCTCTCTCTCTCTCTCTCTCTCTCTCTCTCTCTCTCTCTCTCTCTCTCTCTCTCTCTCTCTCTCTCTCTCTCTCTCTCTCTATCATGCATGAACGGCCACTGCCCAACGAAAGGCAATGAATAATGGCCTTAGTTGCGTGTGGTGCTTTATGGCACCATGAAACGGACGGCCAACCATCCTGGTGGGAAATGAGGCCCGACCTGTTTTTTTTTTTTTTTGTGGTTGTATGGCGCTTGCATTGTGTTAGATGTTGTCAGTCACTGTTTTTTGTAGGGCCCCAAAATGTCCTCAGAATGGGGGTACAACTGACGGAAGCTATAACAAACAAAACCGAACTCGGTTTATTTTTTTATTTTTTTATTTTTTTCAATAAAATAAAAAATATATATTTTGATGATAAAAAAAAATCCTTGTGCCACACACCTATGCGAAAATATCACCCCCAAACCAGCCAAAAAAAAAACAAAAACGGAGTTCCCGTTCTGCGTGAAATCCGTGAACTACGACCGGTCACGTTTTTCGTGACCGGTGACCGGCCCGTGTTCACCAGGGCCGTGAACGGTGAACGGGGGTACGACATTGGTTGGAAAAGCTCAGTCGGTATAGGTGTTTGCAGTGGCTCGGGCGGTATAGGTGCTTGGAGTGGCTCGACGGGTAGGTGGTTGGAGTGGCTCGGTGAGTAGGCCCTTGGAGGGGCCCGGTCGGTATAGGTGTTTGGTGGAGATATAGCTATGGTGGCATGGTAGCTGAGACATGCGTGGTGTGAGCAATATTCACTGAGTGCTGTGAAGGTGGAGCTCTGAGAGCTGATCTCACAATTTTGTGCATTTATGCAGCTTTGTGGAGTTTGTTCATTGACTCTATGATACTGTTTCTGAGTATGCATGTTTTTCAGCTACCTTGCTACTACGTCTTCGGAGAGGCTGTTTTGTCGCAGTTTGCCTGCTTTTGGGAACGCAGTAACCGGGGGGTTTTCATTAGCCTAACGGCGGCTATGTTAGGATCAGGAGTGTCGAGATAGAGATATCAGGAGTGTTGAGAGGAAGATATTAAGCGAGTATAGTGGTTGTGACGCGCCGTAATCAACCGGAGGAGTCTGGTGCTAGGTGGTGGAGGGGGTCAGTATGAATAACGGGAATAACAATGGCGACAACAGGAACAACGAAAATGGGGGTTACGGGGGAAGGAATGGTATTACGTGCTATGAGTGCGGGAAAGAAGGGCACATAGCGCGAGACTGTCGGTCGAAACGCGGTCCCATAAGGCCGAACCAACAGGATGATGAGGTGCATGTGTTCGTAGGAGAATTGATGGAAGAGAAGAAAGAGGAGAAATGCAAGAGGATCGAAGATGAACAGAGGAGGCTGAAGGAAGAGGATGATAGGAGGCGGGAGCTAGATATTGCCAGAAGGACGGAGGAGATGAAGATGCAGATGCAAGCGGACATTGAGGAAAAATGGAGGAGGCAACAAGAAGAAGCAGCGAATAGAGCGAGGGAGGAGAGGCAAGAAGTGGTGAAGGAGGTTAGTCCAAAAATATCACCGCGGAGTAAGGCTATAACCAGAGGCAAGGCGAAGAGGAAGATGCGGAGACAGACCAAGAAGAAAAATAGAGGGAAGACAGAGGCACATTCCTCCAGCAGCTCGGACACGAGCAACAACTGTAGCACATCAGTGAGCGAATCGAGCGAAGATTCGAAAGAGGAAGCAAAACGCGGAGAAACAAAAACGGAAGCCTAGGAAGACACAAGGAAGAGGGAGGCAAGCGAAGAGGACACCATCAAGTGTGTACAAGAAAGGGGAATGTTCTCGACGTTCCGAAACGCCGACGACGAAAGGAGAGATGGTCACAGAGGAACCTCGGACACCATTCACTGGAGGATACAAAGGCGTATCTGTGGGATGTTCGCGGGAGGGGTTCGTCGATTACACGCTGAAGGTTCTCCAACAGTACTCCGCAAAGAAGGTACCGGAGCTACGCGAGATGTGCGGGAAGGCGGGAGTCAAGACGACAAGGAAGGACGATATGGTTATGGGACTTGTCAAGAGGCAGACGAAACTTGCTTATGAGGGATTCTTCGAAACACTAGCGGAGAATGACAAAGGAAAAAAAAGGCAGGAGAGCCAAGGAGGGGAACCTGAGGACAGGACGCCACCGGAAGTGATTAAGACGACGGTGAACACAAGGGCGAAAACGAAGATGTTCATGCCTCCACGCAGCATCATTAGATCGGCCCCGCCACAAATCTAGGATCAAATTGACTATCGGCGCCCCCCACAGCTGGTGAGTTATGGTGCGCACTCCGTACACACATGGACACCAGGAAGACCTTACGGGGGCAGGGAGCTAAAGGTGAGCGAATAGCAGAGGTGGAGCAGCATATCACTACAACTACGATGCTCCTCGGGATGAGAGGAGAGATCGCATGGTTAAAGTACCTGGATAAGGTCGACGTGGATGAGTTGACTTTAGATCTGCAGACTGGCGGGACGTACATCATAGCCCTTGGGCAAAGCGAGTATACGTAGGATGTACGACGAGACTGATACTGCAGAGATGGCGGGAGCACGTGCACGCCGCAACATCGGATTATCGGGGGAAAGGCTTAGCTCCTCAATTGTACCGATGGATGAGAACTTTCGGGATTGATAAGTTCGCAATCATACCTGTGAGGCATACGACCAAGGTGGATGATTTCGTTTTCGAACAGTATCTGATTCGGGATCTGTCACCAAGTTTGAACACTAAGGGAACGAGGAGACGAGGAGTGAAGTCAAGAAAGCGGAAGGGTAAGAGGGAGAGGAAGAAGAGGGGAGGAGAGGCGGTAGAAAAGTTAGTAGTGGGTTTCACTACCGTGGAAGGAAAGCGTACTTCACTACTGAACTCACTACGAGAGAAGAATGAAAAACCGAGTGAGAAAACGGAGGTAGCATTCACCGCGGGTGAACAATGGACGGACGGTTGGAAACAGATTAGCAAGTTCTTAGGAATGTCAGAACTTGAGGTCAATGGGAGGACACTATTACTGAAACAGGCGATACAGATCTGTCAGAATGGGGGAAAGGTGACGGTTGTGCGGATACGCAAGACAACTACCACTACCGAACGGTATAAGCGAGAGCTAGTTAGATTGATGAGGCAACCGAGGCTAGTAGGTGGTATGGCTAGACAGTCGACGAGCAAGCTTGTAGGATTATATAGGACCGCTGGTTTCTTCAGTAGAAAAGAGACAAGAGAGAAGTTGAAGATTAAGATAGATCGGGTATTGTGGAAGAGAACGGGAGTTCGTGTGAGAAGAAGGGTGACCGTCAAGTACCCGTACAACGCTTCTATCCTGAAGACGGAGGTCAGGCGGAAGGTGGAATCTGTAATTGACGAGAAACTAGACGACCATGCTCTGGCAGCATTCGTTAAGAAGAAGGTGAGAATGGTGAACACAAGGAACAGGACAGTGGGAGAGGTTATCCACAACCACCGCCGGCATGCTCATACTCAGCCGGTAAGTTGGTCATGTGAACACCACCTTTCGGCTAAACAAGACGGGCACGTACTCACGAGAGTGTCGGATATGAAGGACGAGCCGATGTTCGTACGAAACGTGAAGAATGTGACGAGGTCGGATGAACAGAACAGCAAGAGGGACATCATACAAGGAATCAGCATGACAATAGCCCACCTTAAGGGTAGGATGCAGGAGGAGTTGAACGTCGATTCCTGCGTTATAACTGAGAGCGAGATGTGTGCGGCCTGGACAGACGGTGAGGTACGTAACTGGGCCTCGAAGTACCAGGGCCTAGTCTTGGTTCCTATAGATCGCAATCCAGGCGACACTGCGTTGATTTGCCCTGTTCTCTATAGGCACGGGTTCGGAAGTACTTTCACGTGGAACCCGGACTACGAATCGGTGGGCAAGCCTGAGGCAGAGGTCTTAGCTCGATGTAAGAAAGAGTTCGAGGTGGCAGGACTTACAGAGATTGGGAGATGGAAGAGCGATGGGAAGCTGGGAAGATCATATGTGATACCGAAGGACAAAGATTTGCAGCGCTGGAGACCGATCGCCCCAGCGTGCAACGATCGGGCAGCATTGGTACAGCAGAGAGGGGCTAGAGCCCTGCACTGCCTCGTCACAAGGTTCTCTAGGAAGAAGAATTTTCACCTGAAATCGACTTTGGAGCTAAAGGAGGACTTAGAGAACGCAGGAGAGATCCTGAGTAGAGAAGGGTGTGATATGGCGATGGGGAGGTGTTACGACATCAAGGAGATGTTTTCCTCGATATCGCATGCATCAGTGAAGGATGCGGTCTCGAATTTGGTGATGCAGTTTGAAGAACAGGGATGGAGGCAAGTGAGAGTTGCGACTAGAGGGAAGCTGTGCCAAATGTCGAAGACCGACCGGAAAAAATCTGGTTTTGTCACGGTTAAGTTGGACATGATCAGGACGATCGTGGAATATGACCTGGCGCATGTGTATATGATGCATGGCGACGTGGTAAGGAAACAAATCACTGGTATCCCGATGGGCAGGACCACCAGCCCAGTGCTGGCCACAATGACGTGCGCAATGGCCGAGGCGGTTTTTCTGTCTAGTCTTGGATCGGATAGGAGGTTGGTGATGGGATGGAGGACGGTGGATGACGTTTGGCGGAAGGCGGTTGGGATACCAGACACCTTCGAGAAAACGTATGATCACAAGTTGAAATTGATCTGGAAGGACGACGATACGAATACTTGGAATTTCATAGGGGGACGTGTTTACGTTATGAAGGAACCGTTGTCGGGTTTCTTTCCCCCCCGGTGGCTCGTAGAACCTGCTGGTTAATCTCCGCGGTCGGGCGATCGGCAGTACTGCCTTCAGCCTGGCCCTAGTTGCGGACTGGGCTCCCCCGCCTAGTTGTCCCTGTGAGCTCACCCATTCCTCTCTTTTTCGTCTCGCCCCGTGTTACCCCTCCTGGCACTTACCCAGGAGCGAAGAACTCAGGGTTCGCTCTTCCCTTTTCCGAGCTCCACTCGAGGATCGGGAGTGTCCCGAACTCCCGGAAACAAGTAATTGACCTTTAGCTGGACCACCCTGGGAGGCTGCACGAATAACCCAGAGTCGGGGCAGACAGACCGAGGACACAAGAGGCGATGAGCTCAAGCGCGGGATGGCTACGAACTGAGTTTGGGAACGGACGTGAGCACCTCGCGGTTGCGCAAGACGACGATTTGAAGTTCACGTAGAGAGACCAACCCTGCGCCGCACGACTGCAAATAGAGGTTCTTGTAGGGAAAACGCCCCAAACATCCCGACTGTAAATCGAGGTTTACCCAGAGAAATGCGGACCCGAATCAGAGCAGCGTCTCGTACCCCACTCAGAGGAATCCGATTCCGAATGCGCCCCCAGAACCGTACGACTGAGAAAACGTCTTCGAGCAAGCAACTGATTATTGAGGCACATACATAGAAAGGCGGAACCCAAAATCACACTACTGAGAACCGACCCCGTACAAGCAACAACATAGAAAGTTGACCCGACACCACACAACTGTGAACCGACTCCGAACAAGCCATAGCGATTCGGGGTTCGTGCATGGAAAAAGCGGACCTGAAATCACACCACTGAGAACCGACCCCGAACAAGCAACAAGGAGTTGAGGCTCATGCATAGAAAAAGCGGAACCGAAATCACACTATTGAGAACCGACCCCGATCAAGCAATAGCAAGTTGAGGTCCATGCATAGGAAAAAGCAGACCGGAAATAACACTACTGAGAACCGACTCCGAACAAGCAACATCATAGAAAGCTGACCCGACATCACACAAATGAGAACCGACTCCGGACAAGCCAAAGCGAGTTGGGGTTCGTGCATGGAAAAAGCGGACCCGAAATCACACCATTGAGAACCGACCCCGAAGAAGCAACAACGAGTTGAGGTTCATGCATAGAAAAGCGGACCCGAAATCACACTACTGAGAACCGACCCCGATCAAGCAACAGCAAGTTGAGGTCCATGCATAGGAAAAAGCGGACCCGAAATCACACTACTGAGAACTGACTCCGAACAAGCAACAACGAGTTGAGGTTCATGCGTAGAAAAAGCTGACCCGACATCATTCAACCGAGAACCGACTGCGAACAAGCAACAACGAGTTGAGGTTCA